ATATATATATATATATATATACATATATGGAAATTTATATAAAAATAATATTATAATATGAACACCAGTCCTAAATAATTTTCCCATTCCCCCTGCATTTAAACGATGAAATTCACTATTTACATGACAATATGCATCAGCTCCAGGGGGATTCGCCCACTGATGCCCAAACAAAGCCCATCAGCTTGGGGGTACAGTAAAACAAATCTACAATACACCCTAGTCTGATATTTATAGAGCATTTTCGTACTTTATTCCCTCCTGTATAAAGTGATTAGTCACTCTTGAAGAATCAATATTTTACATTCAATAAAACACTCTTCCAAATGAAACTCAAGGTTATTTTTTTTATCGATTCTAAAATTGTTATAATATTGCAATCAATTATATATTATCATATTATGCTATGTTTACCTCCGCTATTTAAAAGAGGTTATGTATTGACCGCTAGGAATGGAGAATCAAATAATTTAATGGTACAACAGTACATAAAAACTGAAGATTAAATTTGGGGAAGGAAAGGTCAAAGGTCACAGGAACTTGATTTTTTTTTTTTACACTGAAGAAAATAATGGAATTGCTAACCCCTTGTCAACTAGAAATACTGGGTGACTTTTGGCTACTTAAATTCAGGCTCCTGAGGAAAAAAATTTTTGATATGTTGTAGAACTGATTTTTTTAAGACAGAAAAAAGTTGTTTGACGAAAAACTGGGGAACGGTGAACGAAATACAGATTTTTGAATATTTAAAAACTAGGGGAAAAAGGTGTAAAAATGGGCGGTTACGCCCCTCTTTCCCCCAGTTCTACAACATATCAAAAATATTTTTTCCTCCGGAGTCTGACATTAAAGTTGTTCTGAAATAACCTGGATGACTATAAATGGTTAAACTTAACACAGACTTGACTAAATAAACGCAAACGCAAGTATGCCCCAAAAAAGAATTTTGAAAAAGAGTATGTTTTTCCATTTATGGAACTAAGGCGGTATATAGAAATGAGAAGGGGGCTTAATTCCGCTTGTTCTCCGCCGCAGTGCAGCCACTGTGTCGGAGGCTTAACAGCATGAATATCGTAAATGATTGAATGTTGATAATATGTTACGTTACAACATACAAAAGTACACCAAGTAATTTATTGCACTTAGGATAAGTCCCTGTAGCATAAACATAACCA